TTCTCAGTTCATAAAACTTTAAAAGAAAATAAAATGGTACGTATCCAACAGAGCAAATGGTAATGATGATTAGGATTTACGTGTGAAGTTAGGTTCCGAAATCTAAGCAATAATCGCAGGCTTAAACGCTGTTATCGTTGGGTTTAATCAATGATTAATCATTATTTTTTGTGGGATACATTTCTTATTACTTAGTACAAGCAATCTCCGTCTCACTTTTCAAATTAATCAGTAATTAAGAATAGCATGAGTTTAACTCAGAAATACATTGAAACGAATCCCAAATACTATCCGTCTCGGATGCAATTATTTTAAATATAATTAAAATCTGAATTTTGGTATAACTTAACCTAAATTTAAGTGGTATAATGGTAAGAAAATATAAAAAATATAATTTTATCTCAAATTCAAATCCAAACGAGGAAAAAACATTCATCTAAACTTTTCCAATCCTATAGAAAATGCAGTTGGACCATAGATATGGCAAACTTTTAGATTATCTAGTTACACGATCGTAACCATCAAAATCAAGTTAATTTGGGTGATTTAGAAACTGTAAAAGTTGGGGGGAAATGTATAACAAAATGGGCAATAAATGAATGTAATATAATTTTCTATTTAGCTATATATTCTCAAAGCTTACGATATGGGCCGATGGAGGCCAAATCATATGTTTCGGTTGTAATTCTTAAGAATTTATTACATGATAAAATCGTATGATTCAGCCCAATATATTTGGGTATCTATCATCATTGACCGTCTCCATTACAGCCCAACAGACGGCCCACGAAAAGCCCATTTCACAAATGCTGCAAAGTTAAGGCACGAATTGACCGAAAAGCCAACGGGCTAACATATATTTATATGTACACACACTACACTTTCTGTCCCTATGCATATATAAATATATTCATACAAAATATAAAAAGAACATTTTCGTGTTTTGCTTTTTTAAGAAACGGGGTGGAATTTGTGTCTTGCAAGTTTCGAATAAGCAATTAAAGAAAGTACTGTTTTTTTTCTTCTCTAAAGGAACAAAAAAAAAGGGGACAAAAACAGAGATGGCACACGGATTGGTGACGACACACGTGCGAGAATAAGAATCGGCACTTTTTTTTTATGGTCACATGCCATAAAAAGCCACACTTCTTTACTCCCTCTCTTTGTCTTGTCCCAAAAAAAAAAAATCCTCTCCTCAAGTTTCTTCACCTAAAAGAAATCTTTTTTTGGGGCTTTCCGTCTGCTTCCAAGTTTTGTTACTTGTTATATATACACACACACACACACGATGCACCAAAACACGTGAATCGTAGTGTTATTTGTAGATTTCGTATAGAAAAACTAGACGAAAGTCGTTTAATTTGATTTTATTTTCTACCCAATTCTCAGAGATTAAAACTATATCCTTTTACAAAAATACTTATTAAAAATGATAAAAATGACGAAATAAAAATGCTGTTCTAAAAAAACAATGAATTAATGAAGAAATAGAAATATATATATACACACACATATATATATATATTGCGAGTTATTATCGGATTAAGACATATCAGACGGTGGAAAAGAACGCCATAGAAAGAAACGAAGAAAAGGCTGTGTAGGAGTTTTAAGGAATTTTCTGTGTATTTTCATCTGAGCAAATAGTGCTCCCATATATACAAGAGTGCTCTCCCTGTATCGTATACATGTATGTATATGTACTTTGCTTTACAATAAATGAAATGTAACGATCCTATACATAGATGCTCAGCTACAAGTGATACTATCGCAATGGTGCCGTTCTGGGCCTGTCAGAATATGTCCCTTTGTTCCCTTTGTGACAACCCAGAGTACCGTAGGAGGGCGGGGAGTGATCGCCGGTGCAGAGGCACGGACAAGGGGCGGCTCCTGACGAGCTTCTGGGTAGGGGGTACAGGGATGAATCGAACACACCGGAATGAGAGAGATCCGAGGGTTGTATAGGTATGGGACTATACAGTCTAAGATAACATAAAAGAATTAGTTGAGCTACTCATAGCAACAAGGTGCACCTACCTTTTTGGTTGACTATCCCGAGAGAACTCCAAAGTTAAGCGTGCTGGCTCTGGAGCAATCTCAGGATGGGTGACCTACTGGGAAGTGTCTCGGTATGCGTGCGAGTGAGGACAAAACACGCTGAAAGGTATGGGTTGCTGTGTGAGGGCAGTCTCGACAATTCGTAGCGGCCTCGGGTCGTTACACCCTTGTTGTCTGTTGTTTCAGGTTGTTTGGCACTTTCGCTTAGCTCTAATATCCCCCCCTCAAATCGTGAACTTCCATCGGGAAGAAACAGATTTGAAGTCTGAATGCGAGCAAGCAGAGAATGGAACAACTTTGGCGAGAGAGCTTTAGTAAGAAGATCAGCAATCTGATGTTCAGCTGTGATATGCAGGGGAAGAATCCCTTGTTGTCTGTTGTTTCAGGTTGTTTGGCACTTTCGCTTAGCTCTAATATCCCCCCCTCAAATCGTGAACTTCCATCGGGAAGAAACAGATTTGAAGTCTGAATGCGAGCAAGCAGAGAATGGAACAACTTTGGCGAGAGAGCTTTAGTAAGAAGATCAGCAATCTGATGTTCAGCTGTGATATGCAGGGGAAGAATCTGACCAAGAATCAACTTCTCCCGAACCAAATGACAATCAAGTTCGATGTGCTTCGTACGTTCGTGAAAAACGGAATTCGAAGCAATGTGAATTGCTGAATTGTTATCACAGAACACAGTTACAGGTAGAGGAACAGAAACACGCAGATCAGTGAGGAGCTTTAACAACCAAGTAACTTCGCAGGTTGTATTTGCAAGGGCTCGGTACTCAGCCTCTGTACTGCTTCGAGAGATGGTTGGTTGTTTCTTAGCTTTCCAAGAAATCAAGGAAGAGCCAAGAAAAACGCAAAAGCCAATGACAGATCTCCGAGAGTCTGGACAGGAGGCCCAATCTGCGTCCGAGAAAGCCTGTAAACGCAATTCAGCTGAAGCAGAGTAGAAAAGTCCCTGGCCTGGATTCATCTTAAGATACTTGACAATACGATGAGCAGCCTTCAAATGCTCGGTACTTGGATGCTGAACAAACTGACTTAACTTATGCACCGAGTATGTGATGTCGGGACGCGTGATTGTCAAGTAAAGAAGTCGACCAATGAGGTTACGATAAGGAGTTGGGTCTTCTAGAGGAGTACCTGAATCTCGGTTGAGCTGAATATTGGGATCCATGGGTACAGAGACAGGTTTGCAGCCGAGAAAACCAACATCACGGAGAAGGTCGAGACAATACTTGCGCTGCGAAACGAAAATGCCAGATGAGTTTCGAGCAATTTCCAAGCCAAGGAAATAGCGTAATGGTCCCAAATCCTTAACTTTAAAATGTCGACTAAGGAGCTCCTTTAACGCAACAACTGAAGAGTCGGAGTTGCTTACGATGATAATATCATCAACGTAAACGAGAAGAACCAAAAATGCAGAGGAAGAATGCTGTGTGAACAATGTATGGTCTGATTGTGACTGAGCAAAGCCATGCTGCAGAAGTACAGAAGAGAACTTCGAATACCATTGCCTTGATGCCTGTTTAAGGTCATACAACGATTTCTTCAATCGACAAGATGCGTTCCGAGGCAAAACAGACCCGGTAGGTGGAGTGTAGCCTGGAGGTAACGCCATGAAGATCTCTTCTTCCAAGTCGCCGTGCAGAAACGCGTTGGCAACATCGAGTTGGGTTATACTCCAACCTTTAATTGCAGAGAGAGCAAGTAACGTCTTGACAGTGACAAGTTTGGCCACCGGAGAGAAAGTGTCGAGGTAATCCACTCCCTCCTGCTGTGTGTAACCCTTGGCGACGAGTCTGGCCTTGTATCTGTCAATCTGGCCATTTGCATGTCGCTTTAGTTTATAAACCCACTTACAGCCGATCGCTCTTTTATCGGCAGGCAAAGATACAATGTCCCAGGTCTGATTCTGTACTAAAGCAGCTAACTCAACATCCATTGCTTGCTGCCAATCAGAGGACGCAATGGTCTCTTGGAAAGACATTGGTTCAGATTCGTGATCAAGATTCAGAAGGAATTGAGAATATTGTGGTGATAGTCGTTTGTGGGAAACAACTTCCGACAAGGGATGTTCAGTGGAACACTTTTGCAAAGTGTTGCAGTGATAATAAGACAAATAACCTGGAGCCCGTCTATTGCGCTTTGGGCGAGAAGGAGAGGCTTGATTTGTCGAAGGGACAAGATCTGGAACAACAGAATCAGAAACATCGAGCGGCAAGCGTGCAAAACATGAACCAGAAGCATGACCCGAAGTCGAGCCCGGAGAAACAGAGTCTGGTGATAGAGCAGAATCCGACGAAGGGATAGTCGCCGAAGACAGATTGGGAAGCTCGACCTGGATTGGATGTGGGAGGACAACAGCAGGAAATATCTGTGCAGCAGAGCTAGAATCATGAGAACCATCTGCCAGAAAAGGGAAGATATCCTCATGGAATTGAACATGTCGTGATATAAAAATCTCATTTGTATCACGGTCCAAGAGCTTATATCCCTTGTATCCAGTGGGATAACCGAGAAAAACTGCTGCTCTTGCGCGAGGAGAATATTTCGTTCGAAGCTTGACAGAAGTAGAGGAGTAGCAGAGACAGCCAAAAGTGTGTAAAAGCTCATAATCTGGTTGTTGACCCATCAGGACCTCATAAGGAGATTGATTATTAAGGATTGGTGTCGGTGTCCTGTTAATCAAATAGACGGCGGTTCGAATACAGTCATTCCAGTATCCGACGGGAACGTTTGATTGAAACATGAGTGCCCGAGCAACGTTTAACAAATGTTGATGCTTACGTTCAACTACCGATTTTTGCTCCGGTGTATATGCGCAAGAGTAGTAATGTACAATTCCATTCTTCTGGCATAGCTCATCAAAACGCAACTCATGAGTATTGTCACTTCGTATAGATTTAATGCACTTGTCAAACTGAGTCTTAATCAAACGCAGAAAAGTGTGAAAAACTTGCAAAACATCACTTTTGTTCTAAAGGAGATACACCCAAGAGGTCCTAGAACAATCGTCTACGATAGTGAGAAAGTAGCGAAACCCATCTACAGAGATGTCGGAAAATGGCCCCCATACGTCGAGGTGTATCAAGTCAAAAGGTGCCGCACTGAGGTTGTTCCTTGGGGAAAATGGCAACCTCCTTTGCTTCGCAAAATGGCAGGTGTCACAATGATCAGTATCTGCAGTCTCAGAGATGCGAAGATGCTTAGCCAAAACCTTAAGTCTGTCAAAGGATGGGTGACCCAAACGGCGGTGCCAAGTAGAAGAATTAACCATCAGAACAGAAGAAGGAGAATCACTGACCAGAGAAGAGGATGCAGATTCCAGAATATACAGATTCTGAAACAGTCTAGCAGTGCCAATCGTTAAACCTTGAATGGTGTCCTGAATGAGACAGTGAGTTGAAGTGAAGCAGACACTAATATTCGAACTCTGTAGCAAAGCAGGAACACTCAAGATGTGAAATGTAAAGGATGGTATATATAACACATCAAAGAGAATCAGATTATCTGTAACAGACACATTTCCCTTCTGCGAAACCTGAATACAATCGCCGGTAGGTAGTGTTACCAAAATAGGGAGACATGAATGCAGAGCATGAAACCGAGTTCGATCAGGGCAAACATGAACGGAAGCACCTGAATCGACAACCCATCCAACAAGAGGCACAGATGGAGAACGAGTATAGGGCATACAGAAAGCAAAGAGGATGAAGTTACCAGAGTTCGAAGTATCAGGAGCACCACGTCCGGTAATAGATGGCCGAGAATCCAAGTTCATCTTCTCGGTGATTTGGCTATAGAGATGATGTATCTGAGCGACAGTCATGCTGTTGACGTCGGGGACTGGATGTGGTTGATCATCACAGGAAACAGTGTTAACAGCATGTTTACCAGAGAATGAAGAAAAACGTTGAGTGCCGCCGCCTCTTAGAGCAGAAGAGTTGGATGGTCGAACAGCAACCGGAGAAGATGATCTGTATCCTTGGGGAAAGCCATGGAGTCGGTAGCATTTGGCAACAGTGTGGCCATGGAGGCCGCAATGGGTACACAGGGGTCTGGTCTTGCCTCTGAAACCAGAACCAGAGATAGCAGCAACAGGGCGAGGAGGAAGATCCACCGAAACAGAGGCTTGAAGAACAGGCAGATCAGAGATAACTGGTGTCTTGATGGATCTCTGTTGCTCATGTTGGGTTATAAGATGGAAGGTCTTCTCAAGATCAGGGAGAGGATCCAACATGATGATTTGGCTTCTAATGGCATCATAGGAATCATTTAACCCAAAGAGAAAGTCAATAACAAAATCTCGTTCACTCTGCACCCTCCAGTCCTGGGAGATGTTGCAGGAACAGTTCCCGCATTTACAATGAGGAACAGGCTTCAAAGCCTTGATCTCTTCCCAAATGGTCAGGAGCTTGGTGTAGAAGGTTGTCACATCGAGAGATCCTTGGCGCAAGCTATGAAGCTGTTGTTTAATGCCATAAAGACGTGAAGTGTTGCTTTGCTTAAAGCGGCGAACGAGATTCAACCAAATCTCACGAGCAGTGCTGTGGTATAACAAACTAGGAGCGATTGTCGGCGAGACAGAGTTAATAAGCCAGGAACTTACAACGACATTGTTCCTGTACCAAAGCTGAGCGTCGGGATCTCCATCATCCGGTCGAGGAACGTCGCCAGTGACAAAACCCATCTTGTTCCGACCCTCGAGCGCCATAGTAACGGAGCGACACCATGTGTTGAAATTTTCTGGGTCGGTGAGCCGATCAGTGACGAGTTGCAGAGTCGTATGGTCGGTGGCGCCAAGAAAATAATGATTACCATAGTAATCAGTAGGAACAGGTGGTGGCGGAATGACCGGAGGGGCAACAGGATGTGGTTGTGGTTGAGAAGAAGAAGAAGCAGAGAGTTCTTCAGAAATTTCGGCATTAAAATCGGCCATGGTAGCGAAGAACAAGACGAAGGATGAAGAAGATAAAGGATAAATCAAGTAGAAAAGAACCCTACACAACGCTCTGATACCATATCAGGCGGTGGAAAAGAACGCCATAGAAAGAAACGAAGAAAAGGCTGTGTAGGAGTTTTAAGGAATTTTCTGTGTATTTTCATCTGAGCAAATAGTGCTCCCATATATACAAAAGTGCTCTCCCTGTATCGTATACATGTATGTATATGTACTTTGCTTTACAATAAATGAAATGTAACGATCCTATACATAGATGCTCAGCTACAAGTGATACTATCGCAACGGTGCCGTTCTGGGCCTGTCAGAATATGTCCCTCTGTTCCCTTGTTGTCTGTTGTTTCAGGTTGTTTGGCACTTTCGCTTAGCTCTATATTAGACACGAAAGGAATGGGAACACAGTGATCCATAAGCAATCGTTGATGCACTCTTGTTCATAAACACTACCGAATACTGAAACTCGGGATTAATACAATTTTTAAAAAAATCTTAAGATATTTATGGTTAGTCCATTCGGGTTTTCACAAGTTGATGGTTATCTTAGACCGAACCATTTAGAAAATAAATAAAATTGTTTTGCATAACTTATATTTAAGTTATAAGCATTTGATTGTGCCACTTACAAAAAAAATACAGACTTTTTTTTTGCCAAAGAAAAAAAACACAGACTTGATTAGTTGATTGTGCGGTATGTGATGTTTTTGTAGGAATAAAAAAGGTCTGAAAATCTTCCAGTGGAGATATTATACGAAAATATACACTCATAATAAACAATAATATATATTTAAAAAGATATATATTTCCGAAGAATCTGTTTGATATTGTTTCATTAAGTAAATAATTTTTTTCTACAATTGTAAACTTAAACTAGTTTCGGTTTGAAAATTTTTGTGGTTGTTATATGTTATATTATATTGATTCTATTAGTAAACAGATTATTGAAAGAATCTTAGAAACCCAGAATCATAAAAAAATATATAGTTGAATTATGGTTCCGCACAATAAACAATAATATATATTTTCATTATTTTAATATATATTTATGATAGATGAATGTAGTATTGTCAAATGGGTTAAAATAATGAAAATATACATTACGCATTAATAGGATAACATAATGAAAATGGAAACGTAAGAAATTGTTTTATGATAGATGAATTATGGTTCCGCAAAATTTTTGTGAATGATATAAAAATAGCATTTTTCAAATTACGCTAAAACGTAAAAACATTGAATATAATTCACCTCATTGATACATCAATTCACATTACAATATTTAAACCACTAATTATATCTTTTTAGACTATATATCATTCAATTAGATGATTAAGTTATTTTTAGATAATCTGATATTCTAAACCGAGGTCTAGACTAATCAGAAAACAAGTCAAATGATTTAAATTACACTTTTCTTCCCAACTTGTACCGTATTCCGGTATAATTTACCACAAAACCAAAATTACAACCACACTAAGTACAAAGATTTTCGGGCTCCTATTTGTGTGTTTATAGAATGATGTCTGGAAACCTATTTGAAAATTTTTTAAAAAAATGGCCATGATAAAAAAAACCCTCGAGTTAAGACAATGGAAAACATTTGAAGACAGAATATATTACATGCAAAAAAAAAATACACAAAAAAAAGCTTCTTTATGAAAAAGAGGGTTGCAGCTGCGAGAAAAGAGATTGACAAATCAAAGCTTCAAAACGAAGAAACTTAAATGGTTACTAAACCACTAAAAAACGACATAAAACTGATTCAATAACTTCTTCTGTAACTTCCGAAATAACCGATACTTTGAACCAAAGACTTGAACCAAATAACCAACAGTTTCCCACTTTGTTCAGAAAACCAGAGGAACGAAAAATTATGTTATGATTTCTTTAGCCCTACACAATAACACGTACAAGCAATCATTTGTCATTTATGTCCGCACCATTGCCTTATATAGAACAACAATCTCTTTTTATCCTTGTTAATTGTGTCCGTCGATATATATATATATATACACAAAAAAATACATTGTATGCAATCATAACAAAGTATATATTCGCATTCAGTTACGCGGCTGATCTTAATAGTATTTGTTCAAAGTTCTGTATCAACCAAACTATTCGTGCATATATTGAGTCAACTGAATGCGAATATATACTTTGTTATGATTGCATACAATGTATTTTTTTGTGTGTATATATATATATATCGACGGACACAATTAACAAGGATAAAAAGAGATTGTTGTTCTATATAAGGCAATGGTGCGGACATAAATGACAAATGATTGCTTGTACGTGTTATTGTGTAGGGCTAAAGAAATCATAACATAATTTTTCGTTCCTCTGATTTTCTGAACAAAGTGGGAAACCCATTTAAAACAATACCATATTCATATCGTGCCCTCTCACTATAATAAATTTCATATTATATACTCTAAATTATATATTTTTACATTGGCTTATAAAACGTTATACAAATGACGCGTGTAGATCGATATAAAATATCCTTATAAGTTTACAGATATAAACATGTAAGAATATAGTGGCTGTTACATACAGTATACTATTTATACAACAATGATACACTATTTTTCATAATTTAAAATAATAAATAGTACCTTAAAATATAAGAGAGAAAATCCAATTACTCGACAGAAATCTTCCTTTCAAATACAAAATATTCGACGTATAATTGTTCGTCCGACAAATATTAAAACAGTATACAAATCCCTGGGCGAACACTTCATTTTATTGCATCTTCTTCACAAATACATCTACCAGATTGTATCTCAAAGCATATAACTACAATAATAATTTTCAACATATTTTAAAAACAAAAAACACGATATTTAAATCATTGATGCATATACTCATTGAACTAATACGACGAAATGTTCGTGGAAAAGCATATCATACATACATAAATGAATGAACCGATCTATGTTATGGTAATATTGGATCATGTAATCTACTTTATTTAAGATTAGATTTAATTATTTAAATTATTTTATATAAAATCAATATTACTTTTATCCGTGTGTTCCGGATAAATTAACTAATACCCTATATTTTTTCATCTGCACATGTCCATACTTTAGAGATATATAAACCCTTGATTTTTCATGTCTAATACTGACGCACATAAATTAATAAATCGATAGTATCATATATGAATCTTGGATAAAACTATATATCTACCTAATACTTTAAAATTGGTCATTAAGTATATAAAATGAAAAGGAAAGAAATCAAAGATTGATGGATGAAATGATAAGGGATGAAACAAAATTCTTTTTCAATTCAGGTTTAAATGGAAATATATCACAAATACTCTTACTATATTATTTTTACTTTACTATATACCCTTGTAATCCTATTTTTTTTTTACAAAAAAAACTTCAGCATTCAAAAGACACAAAAATCCTGTAAATTAAATGTAAAGACCAAGCTATCTTTATATTTGAATTAAAAAAATAGAAAAAGAAAAAAAAATTCTATTTTTTCCAAAAAGAAACATCTCTCTCATCTTTCATAACTTTTCTCTCTCTACAATTTCTCAAAACTCTTCTCTTTCTCTATGATTTCAAAACCGTCTCTCTATTGCGATTTCTCTCTCTCTATTACAATTTCGATTGCGATTTCTTCAACAATCATCTTTGCATTCATATTCAAGTTTGTCTTCACCTTCACATTCATCTTAGAGAGAGAACGAACTGCAAGAACAAACTGTAGTTTTTTGCTAATGTACAGATCTTTGTCTTCGTTTTCTTCTTCTTCGTCGTCTTCGTCTTCGATCATTGTTGGTGTGTAAGTTATGTGTTTGGGATTTCGAAATAGAAAATTAGGGTTTGGATTTCGAAATAGATCTGAAAGTATCATGATTTCGAAAGTTAGAGTTTCTGTCAAGTAATCGATTGATAAGTCTTATGGTTCATATTAAGTCACATTGGTTAGTTTGTGTCATATTAGTCATATTTAATCACAATTAGTTATTTAGGTTAAAACTAAATGCCATTGGACAAAAATAACCGAAACTCAAAACCCATTTAAAACAATACCATATTCATATCGTGCCCTTTCACTATAATAAATTTCATATTATATACTCTAACTCTATTATATATTTTTACATTGGCTTATAAAACGTTATACAAATGACGCGTGTAGATCGATATAAAATATCCTTATAAGAGGTCTTGTAAGAATATAGTGGCTGTTACATACAGTATACTATTTATACAACAATGATACACTATTTTCATAATTTAAAATAATAAATAGTACCTTAAAATATAATGGAAAGTCACATATAAGAGAGAAAATCCAATTACTCGATACAAATTAAGACATATTACGATGGATAGGCTATCAACGTGGTTTACCAAACAGTAACATTACTTTACGAATACTTGTTTGAGGTAATGATCGACAGAAATCTTCCTTTCAAATACAAAATATTCGACGTATAATTGTTCGTCCGACAAATATTAAAACAGTTTACAAATCCCTGGGCGAACACTTCATTTTATTGCATCTTCTTCACAAATACAGCCACCAGATTGTATCTCAGAGCATATAACTACAATAATAATTTTCAACATATTTTAAAAACAAAAAACACGATATTTAAATTCTGTAATGATTCAAGGATACCGAAATATAACAAACATGCCAATCATATAACGGGAATGTAATGCATTCATAAATCAATGAATCAATACAAAGTCAAAATGTCATATCACGGATCATCCTAGAGCATTACAACCAACAGGTCGCCCGTTTCATGTGAACTGGGG